GGCTGTGTTTCCCCAAATTAAGAAGCACCATATAAAATAGAGTGAACAACTATTGAATTGTACGAGTTGTTGTTCGATCGATGATGAAAATCCTGATCAATCATACAGGTGCAACACCAAAATCGATCCCTTATCCTTATGAATTAACCAACGGCAATTAACCGCTCTAACGCTTCCAGAATACCATTTTAAATTCAGATCACTTCACATCCTCTTTAAATCAGCAACGTTCACAGCTACCTGATCATCAATTATCTTGAAATATCATACCTACTTCCCAAGTCATTTCAACATTGATATTCCATCCAAACGTTCACCTAATAGTGAGTGCTGTTCGTGCCTTTCTGTCAGGTTCTGAATTGAACGCAGATTCAAACAACCATAAGATGAATTCAGATTGCAACTGAACAACTAATGGAAAAATTCACTTGTTCTATAATATATTACTATGCATCTAGCACGTTTTTAAGAATGAACAAATTATCCTTTCAATCAATCAACCGCTCAAACGAGCTAATCAATTCAACTTTCAATTGATCACTCGTCTGTCTCTTCAGGGATTCATATTCCAGAGTTCAAGCTGAGATGAGAATTGAATTCATCGAATTATTCTTTTATAACACTCATAAGAATGAATAACAACAGCAATCATCGCACACACAACAATGTACAAATCATAAAATCGTCTACAATAACAGCGTAAAACACTAAAAATAATCATAATAAAATAATCCCTGAATTGTATTTGATGAAGAGTTGCTTTATGTGAACTTGCCATCATTTGGAATCATTCAAATCATCTCCTAATATTCACTTCACTAATCTAAAAGGAATTAAATCGATTCCATAAAAATGACACGAATCATTTAAATCTTTCCGCAGAACTACTACCACATGCATTAGCGTATACAATCGTTTGTTTGTACCTAGTTGAACACCAACTGCAAATAAATTGTAACATTGAGAGCGCTGATAGAACTCGGCGAGGGACGATGATATTGATGGATTGGTTGGGGTCTTATTCATTCATGGTTCAAGGATTTGATTCTGACGAACAACAACGGAGATCATCTGATCGGGATGATGATGATAATATAGCAATAACGATAATGATAACATAATAAAAGATCATCAAGACAACTGAAAAACAAAACAAACAAAACAACATTACAGTATATTAATCGAATCGATTGGTTCGGTGAATTATACATATNATATCATTATTTTAGATAACATTATAAAATCGAAACAGAAACGACAGAGCCGACGACCACTTGGAGGATAAGAGTAAGAAAATATTAAAATTATATGATTGATTGAAAAGACTGAGGATTACTGATCACAGAAATGATCGATTTCATAAAGCGATTGATCTGATGCTAACATACTTCGATGATGCACGTTCCAAATGATTGATAGATAACATCTGAATAGATAGCATCTCTAATCCAAATATGCATCGAAATTTTCAACGAGACAAGAATTACGAGCGAACATTCATTATCTTGACGAAAGTAAAATAAGAGGAAGCATGATAAAATTGAAAATCCATCAACTCTAGATATTTATAAATAAAAGAAATATGTATGACTGCGGCTGATCAAAAGTACTGCTGCAATTACAGTAGTATTTTGTTAAAATAATATGTGCAAGTTGCACTCAATATCGTGTAATAACAACTCGAGAATACTGCTGACAAACTAATCCCTTGTTGAAAACGTGCGAAAACGTGTGTGGGTGTAGGGAGGAAAACATAAAAACTGCAAGCAATACTACCGATATTTCAAACTCCAAATTGAAAAAAATTCAAATCGCTTCCTTAAGCACTCTAAAACCACAACAAAAAAAA